TGGAGAGTTGGAAGGTGTGGACGGAAAGTTGGTGGGAGAGTTTGAATTGAGGGTGCAGGGATGGTTGGAGGGCGGGTTCGAGAGAGGCTTGACGGGCGGGTTGGAGGGATGGGAGGGATTCGACTCAGGAGGAGTGCGAGGAGTGCAGAGGAGGCTGGAGGATGGAGGAATTCGAGCGTGCGGAGTGCAGGAGGAGTGCGAGGAGTGCGGACGGGGCAGGAGAAGGAGGAGGGGGATACGAGGGGGTGGAGTGGGGGCGAATAGAGAAATGGACGAGAAATGTGGTTGTCAAGGAATGTTTGACAAACTCGCCGGTTTATGGCGGCATAGACAACGGCTGGGAGATGTTCTTTGATGAGGTCCCCAGCGAAATGGCCACTTTCAGGCGGCGTAGAGATCGATGTGAAACATTTGTGAGAGGAAGTTCCGGGCGAAGTCGCCGCTTTCCGATTGCATAGCAAATTTTCAAATCGCCATGCGCGCCAGGCGTGCCAAAACATGCAAGACGCGCGAGGTCCGCCTTATCCCCATATAGTGGGGCCCCGTGGGGGAGCCCTTTGCGGGGAGACGTATGGGGGAGCCGTATGGGGAAACCCGATGGGGAACCCAATGGAAAAGCCCCTATTGGGGGACCTATGTGGGAGCCCCATGGGGGCGCCTTGTGGAGGAGCCCTGTGGGGGGAAACCCTATGGGGGAGCCTTATGGGGGAGCCCCATGAGGGTTCTGTGCTACTGCGTACTTCCACTGGCTAGGGGCAATTTAAAGGCAACCTGAAGGCAAATCCATAGGCGTATGTGTTTCTACAATGCGCAAATCCTTTTTCTCGCTTTAACGAATAAGAGAACATTGAATCAAAGCTTTTGGAACGCGAAACAGGGATTTGCCGATTGGGAAACACATAATCGCCTATGTAGTTGCTTATATATATATATGCATATAGACATATCTCTATATATATTGCCTTTTGACTGCCATTCATGTGCCTTTGGCCAGCCTGGTTGGCTGCTTGCCCCGTTGGGTGCCTGGTTGGCCGCGTTACTGGCTGGTTCGTTGGCTGCCAACTTGGCCACCTCGTTGGCTCCTTGTTGGCTGCCTAGTTGGTGGCCTCGTTGGATGCCTCGTTAGCTGATCGGTTGATCGCCTTGTTGGCAGTCTTGTTGGCTTCCTTGGTGGCTGCTTGGTTGACTGCTCTCCTCCATGACTACTGGTTGGCTGCCTTATCGGCTGCCTTGTTGGCCGCCTGAATGGCTGGCAACCCGACATGGTCGCGGGGAATCCGACAATGTCACCGAAGGCAACCGTCGGGCAGAGACGGCCAGTGGAAGCTGGGGAAGGCTACGAGGCACCTGTCTTTCTGTCATTGCAACCGTCAGGGCGGTGGGCATCAATCGTGAGGTTCGCGGTTGTTGATCGGAATGAAAAGCGCCCCAAAATCCACCGCCAATGCAACCTTGTTTTCGACATTGAAACAAGGGGGCACGGAGGTTCTGAACACAGCCGCGCTGTCCATCATGTCTGGTGGGCGTTTCTTTATGCCAACGGCGGTAGCGATGGTGATGGCGATGACGATGACGATTACGCTGGCGATGATGCTGATGACGATGATGAAAGTGATGGTGGTGGTAATGATGATGATGATGGTTGTGATGGTGGTGGTGGCGGTAACGATGCTTATGACGCCGCTGACGATGCTGATGATGACGATGACAGTGGACATGATGATGGTGATGACGATGACAACGATGACAAAGACGGTCATGATGACGATGATGATGGCGGTGGTGGTGGTGGCGATGATGATTATGCTTCTGATGATGATTATGATGATGGCGATGAGGATGCTGATCTTGATGGTGGCGGTGATGATGACAACTGTGATGGTGACGGTGATGATGATAACCATGATGATGATGGTGATGTCGATGATGCTGATGATGATGGTGTGGATGATAATGATGATGCTAATGCTGATGATGATGTTGATAATGATAATGATGATAATGATGATGATGACGAGTGATGATGATGATGAGGATGATGATGATGATGATGATGATGATGATGATGATAGCGGTGGTTCTGATGACGATGATGTCGGCCACGATGATGAGGATGACGATGATGGTGGCTGTGGTGGTGGTTGCGGCGGTTTGGGTTGTTATGGTGGCGGTGGTGGTTGTGGTGGTGTTGATGGTTGTCGTGATGATGAGTGCGATGGCGATGGCGGCGGCAACCCGATGACGACGATGATGATGTCGTTGATGACCATGCTGATGGTGTTGATGTTGCTGATGCTGATGCTGATGATGATAATGATGGTGGTGGTGGTGGTGATGCAGATGATGAAGAGGATGATGTTGATGATTCGGGACGCGACGACGATATGATGATGGCAAGGAGCGCGTTCTGTGGTTGCTTCGGGGTGGGGGGGAAGAGTTTTCAATCCCTTCCCCCCTCCTTCCCCCCAAACATCCCGGACGTCCACAAACCAGGGGGGCCCCCTCACCCCGCACCGCCCCCCCTCCCTGCTTTGTTTGGCGCCACGCGCCAGGCGCCGACGACGACGACGACGTGGACGATGACCCCCCCCTCCCTGGGGCTGGCAAACGACGGCGACGATGACGACGATGACCAGACCAACGTCGACCAGACGACGGCAAACGACGATCACGCGACGACGACGACGCAATGACGACGATGACCATCGCCAGGTCCCCGTCTCCCCGCACAAGTGGGGGTTCAACGCCCCCCTCTGTCTTGGCGCCCAGCGATGACGACGTTCCCCGCCTGGCGCCGGCAAACGACGGCGACGACGACCACGACGACCGCGACGATGACCCCCCTGGTGCCAGCAAACGACCACGGCGAATGCCCCGCCCTTGGCGCTGGCAAACAACGACAACGACGGCGACGACGACGACGACTGGCGCCAGGTGGGTCGGGGGGTTTCGGGTAGGAGGGGGGGTCGGATCTGGTGTGAAGGTGGGGGTTGTCCGATTCGCCGGATGAGTGGGATTATTCGTAAGGGCTTCGCCCCCATGCCGCCAGGTTTCCTCTCTTAGAATAGGACCTGCGAGAGCTGTGTTGGAATGTCTGGACGCTGACATTAATCAATGTCGGGACTTCACGCGAGGGCCAATATTAGTTCACGAGGGTTGATGGCTTCGGTGGCGCGAATATGAGGTAATCTACTATGGTTTATGGCTTCGGGGACGCGGGAATTGCATAATTAAAAAGGGTTTGTGGCCTCGGGGGCGCAAATATTGTTTAACTTGCAGGGGTTTATGGCATCGGGGGGTCCAAATTGTCATAATTTACAAATGCTTATGGCCTCGGGGACGCGAATCTGCTGTAATTTGCTAGGACTTGTGGCCTCGGGAACGCAAGCATGGTCTAGTTTACGAAGGTTTATGGCCCTGGGGACCGGATCTTATGTAATTTTCAAAAGGTTCATGACTCCGGGAGCGCGAATGTTGTTTAATTTGCGCGAATCTTGCGTGATTTACAAAGGTTTATGGCTTCGGGGGCGCGAATACAGCGTAATTGACAAGGGGGTATGCTATCGGGAACGCGAATATCGCATCCTTTACGAATGTATATGGCCTCGAGGACGCGAGTATGGCGCAATTTGCAAGGGATTTGGGCTTCGGGGATTCGAATACCATGTATTTTTACGTGTCCCACGCCCCACCAGGAATTCAGACAACGCGATCTGGGCGTGGTGCAAAGCTGGTTTGTGGCTCCCCCCCCTCGCGCGTTCAACAACGATTAACAATAAGGAAGCAGAAAGCAGGACCAGAACAGTGGAAACTGGAGGCTGCAACTGGAACAGGGAGCTGCAATCCTCATTCTCGCAGCCTGGTGGCTCCGCAAGGGGGCCGGCGGATCTTTGGGCCCCGACCCCTGGCTTTCGACGTGTCGAGGAATGTGCCGCGCCCAAGTGCCCGTGAAACGTGGTATCTCGATGATGGTGATTATGGTGGTGGCGGTGGTGATCATCAGGATCATGATCATGACTATGATCATGATTATGATATTCATCATGACCCATGATGATTACCGCGATGATGAAAAGGACGATTATCTTGGTAATGGCGCGTGTGATCTCCGTACTGATGACTTTGATTACGATGATGCTGACGATACTGATGGCGATGGTGACCCTGATGATGCTGCTGGTGTCGATGATCACGATGACGATCATGATGATGATGATGATGATGCTGATGCTGATGCTGATGCTGATGCTGCTGCTGCTGATGCTGATGCTGATGCTGTGGCTGCTGATGATGATGCTGCTGATGATGGTGCTGCAGATGATGATTATGATTATTATGATAATGATAATGATGATGATGGTGGTGGTGGTGGTGATGATGATGGTGCCGATGATGAGGATAATGATGACGATGACGACGATGATGATGATGATGATGATGATGATGATGATGATGATGATGATGATGATGATGGTTGTGATGATGATGATGATGATGATGATGATGATGATGATGATGATGCTGATGCTGATGATGATGATATGCAAGTCCTTCGAAATTGGACCGTCAGGGGGCAGCCTTCTAAAAGAGCACCGCGTTGCTTAGAAGGTGTTGAGGCGCATGATAAGTCACCGGCATGGCAGCGACTGTAACTGCCCTTGGCACTTTGCCGTCTGCCCTCCCCCTTTCCCCCCTTCCTCTTGATCCCCACCTGTGCTGGGACCGTCTCTTCAGCCTGGACTTTCTCTCTCTGTTGGCCCCAGTGCCCGAAGACGTCCTCGGCCTCCGCAGGCGGCAACTCGTCAGAGACGGTGCCATTGGATCAGGAGGGAACACAAACACACAGACACAATCACCGTTTCCCAGAAAATAACTATTGGAAGATATGGGAAGCGCAGGGCTAGACGAATGTCCAGGACATCTTGATTTGAAAATACTGGGATTCCTGGGAGGTGTATTTTTATTTGTGTGTCCCTGGGCCCTTTCGTGGGAAAGTCACGATGTGCGAAGTCTGGATCAGCCTCCCTTGTCTGCGCGCCGCCCCCAGGTGGGACGCTGTTTGGGAAATACTCGGCAGGCACTCGGGGTGGGGTCGTCCTTGTCGCCGCCGTCATTGTTGTCGTCGTCGTCGGCGTCGGCGTCGTCGTCGTCGTCGTCGTCGTCGTCGTCAACGGCGTCGTCGTCGTCGTCGTCGTCGCCGTCGTCGTCGTCGCTGTCCTACGCGTCGTCCCCGCCGCCTCGGCCAGCCGCGGCTCGGACAATGGGCCAGCGAGGAGGAGGAGGAGGAGGAGGAGGAAGCATGAGGCAGAAGGCATGAGGGAGGAAGGGGGGGGGAGGCAGGAGGGTGGCAGGCGGAGGAGGAGGAGGAGGAGGAGGAGGAGGAGGAGGAGGAGGAGGAGGAGGAGGAGGAGGAGGAGGAGGAGGAGGAGGAGAAGGAGGAGAAGGAGGAGGAGGAGGAGGAGGAGGAGGAGGAGGGTCGAGGAGGAGGGTCGAGTAGGAGGAGGGTCGAGGAGGAGGAGGAGGAGGAAGAGGAGGAGGGTCGAGGTCTTGCACGTGTGGGGCCCTCCGCCTCTGACGTGGATCTGTCCTCTCTGCCCTGCCTCCAGGTCGTCCGACTTGCGTCGTTGCCGCGGGCTCCTCGGAGGCCCCGTGCCCGGAGCGGCCGCTCTTCCAGTTCCTTTTTTTGTTTTTTGGGACGCCGCCGGGCTCGCGGCCGCGGTGCCGCTCAGCGACGTGTTGCCGACCGAGCCTGCAGTGTTGGCCCTTTCCTTGTCTGTGCACTTCAGCTCTGTCTCCGGCTTCCTCGACGCACCTGCGGGCTCGGCTTTCTGCACGCACGGTTGCCCACCTCCCCCAGCATCGCCTGATCTAATGATCCCCAGCCCCACTGGGCCATGGTGCAGTCAACCCGCATAGTGAGAATGGGCGACCTTCCCAAGGGTACCCTTGCCTCCTTGCCTCCTCGGTCCATCCTCGGCCGCTTCCATTGGCCGCTCCCCGCTCGAAGAGCTCAGAAATGGGCTTCCAGTGCCGTTTTTAATACATGCTCCGCGTGCGGATCATGTGTTAAACATGCAGGGAATTAGTATCAAAAACAACGATGAGTTCATGCATAAATCTATTCATGCATTAATCATGTATTAAACATCCATTTTTTAACATCCCATGTATGAATTACTGCCCTGTATCGCGCATCGATATGATACGGTCCGACTGCATCTCGGCCCCCCTGGCCCACCCTCCAGGCCCCGCGAAGGCCGCAGCAGCAGGCCTTCTTCCCCCACCCCGTGGGGTCGGCCGGCCAGTTGGGCCCAGGCAGCGCCGGTGGGGAGAGGGATCGGTGAAACGTGACTCCCTCCCCCCTCCCTCATCCCCACTCCCTCGTCGAGGATCGTCGATGCTGATCTAGTTCCCATGTCCCGGACGAGCGTTTCCGTAGCATGGCAGCCTTCTCTGCTCTTGCTTCCTGTATCTAGCAGGTGTAAGAGTGCCCGTCGAGTTGAGGACGGCGGACTGCCACTTCCATCGTTCGACGACGACGACGACATCCTGGGCCTGCGTCTTCGGGCCGAGGCCGACCCGGACCCTGGACTCCAGCGCTGGCCCTGACTCCTCCCTGGCGCCCCCGCCCCGACGCGGCCGTCCGGCACGTGACGCGGCCGGCCCCCCTCCCGCCAGGGGTCCGTCCTGGCCAGTTTTCCTCTGGGAGGAGGAGGAGGAGGAGGAGGAGGAGGAGGAGGAGGAGGAGGAGGAGGAGGAGGAGGAGGTGGAGGAGGAGGAGGAGGAGGGGGAGGAGTGCTGCAAGAGGTGCTTCCTGGCCCAACCACGAGCTGACAACTGACCGCGCCCCCGCGATAATACTGAGTAGCCCCCCCCCCCCCCGGGGTCGTCCACGTTTCTTCTCTGCGGCCTGTGCGTCTTCCTCATGGCTCAAGGAGCGGGGCGGCCCTCTGGGGAGGCTTCGTCAGATCACCTTGGCGAGGTCCTTCACCCCCGCTCCAGACATCCCAACATCGATATCTCGAGGGAAAAATGTTCACGTCTTCCCCGGACCCAAAACTATATTTCCCCCCTGGAATTATTATCTCGGGTGCAGGGTTAGCACTGGCGCCTGTGCGACCCCCAGATATCTCGGGGTGGAATGCTGGGGTGGCTATGGTCGGATGGGGGAGGACGAGGATGAGTCCGTTCCAGAGAGTTCTGGAACGCTTTCAAAACGTTCTGGAACGCTGTGAGACGGTCGCGGCGCCCGAGACATCTTCCAGAGTCGCGGGATCTCAGAGATTCTCGATTTATCTCCACTCTATTTTGTCTTCGTCTTGGCTTCGTCTTACTGTAGGTGCGCGTTGTCCGAGATGAGCGTCGCCGCTCGAAGTGGAGCCCTCCTCAGGTCCGCGTTTTTAGGTTGCCCCCAGGTCGCGAAGCGCGGTTTGGCGCCCCCTGTAGTTATCAGGATGAGTTGCCGGTTCGCCACTCAAGGTGTCAGTTCGGGGCTCAAGAGACGGGGGTCAATGCAAACGAGGGTCAACCAGAGAGCTGGATCTTGCAGGATCTTGCAGGGCCAGGGTCGCATTGGCCCGGGTGTGGGAGCAGGATCCTGCAGGATCCTGCAGGATCTTGCAGGATCTTGCAACGCTTAAGTCGGGCGTGTCCCTCCACAGGAGGAATATTCAAAAGTTGTACAAGGATAGTCTGGTGGGGACGATTTTCGCTTGTTGCTTCATTCTTTTTGAGCATGTTCGGGTTCTTTTCATTTTTCGCCCAAGATCGGCCTGTAGGGGGACATGTGTGTGATGTGTGCGCCTGGCTGCTGCTGCCCCCTGGCTGCTGATCGTCGAACTCTTCGACGTCTGAGCGTCCCTTCTTCCTCTCGGCCGTCCCCCCCCCCCTCTTTGATCGCCGGCCCACTCGCTACTCAGCGCCCCTATCTAGCTTTTCAGTGGAGCGGAGTTCGCCGCCTCGCCGCTGACGAAAAAAGGAGGGGGACACGCCCGACCTCCTGCACGGCCTGACTGGCCCGGGCTCGGCGTGCCCCGGGCCGGCAGCTCCCCGGCCCGCAGGTCTTCCAGGGAGGCTCCTCCGCGGCCTCCCGGGGCGCCCGCCACGAGGCCCAGAGGCCCCCAGAGCACGGAGTGCTTGCTCCTGCTGCTGCTGCTGCTGCTGCTGCTCCTCCTCCTCCTCCTCCTCCTCCTCCTGCTCCTCCCTCTGCTGCTGCTGCTGCTGCTCCTCCTCCTCCTGCTCCTCCTGCTCCTCCTCCTCCTCCTCCTCCTCCTCCTCCTCCTCCTCCTCCTCCTCCTCCTCCCCCTCTTGCTCCTCCTCCTGGCACTGTGCGAGCGGTTTCCAGTTGCCCCGTGGTGAACGGCTATCGTACCGCCGTAATATGCTGGCCAGTGTCAGTCTATCAACGCCTGCTCTGACATAGCCAGCGTGACCAAGGTGCGTGCGCACCTAGACCCTCACGAAGGGAGGATCGAAGAGAGCTAGTCG